CAATAAGATAGTCACTAGCATATGTGGCTACTAAGCACCTAAAATGTGGCTAATGTGACCGAGGAACTGATTTAAACTTGTATTCACTTTTAATTAATTTAAATTTAAGTAAATGCACGAGGCTAGTGGCTACCGTATTAGACAGTAAAGCTTTAGAAGATAAGCCAGAAAAGTTCAAAGTACATTTTAGAAAAAGTTTCTATAGTGGTCAAAATTAAGAGGTTTTCTCATTAACCTTCATTTAATCGGAACATGCCAAAAATAAATATGAGAATAGATTTTATCAACTCCAAAAAAGTTTGATAAAAATAATGATAAAAGATAGCAATGACAATGTAAAAGCTATTTCTGTTCCTGTGTGGGGCAGACCTAAGAGCATAAAATTATAAAAATAAACATATAATATTAAATATCAGCAACATCCTTAGCCTGAAGGCCAGTTACAAACCTGGACATTACTGATACTCGAGAATCTAAGAATTTAGGGTAAAAGAAAAAATAGAAAAAAGGGGGAAAAGAAATCCTCTTCTCACATGTTCTTGAGTTGAAGCAAAGAATACAAAATCTGTCCTCTTTTATTCTAAAAAAGATGATTCTTTTTGCTTTCTACTATTGCAAACTGGTAAAGAGAAAAAATATGCTAGATGCCTTATGTATATACTTAGTCCCATGAATCCTAACAGACTAGTGAGGTAAGCATTAACAATCCTGTAACAGCAAAATTAGTAAAAGTGGAGTAACTTGTCCAAGATCATATGAGTAATATGTGGCAGAGATATGAACCTGTATCTATCTGATTCTAAGACTATATACCAGAGTTGCCTTATTAATACCAAACCCTGCTACTAGAAACAAGGCAAGAAGCCTTAAAACAAATCTACCCTCTTCTGGTTGTTCTAAATTGCAGGGTCATCAGTATCAACAGGAGGAAACAGATGAACAGGAAATTCATCTGGGACACTAATATAACACATGAGCTTCTCTGGTGCTAAAATATCCGTGTTCCCTAGCATATTCTAAACAGATACACTGGATTAATAATAAAAGGCATCTTTAAAAAAGAAGCATAACAAAAAAGAAAAAAAATGAGTGTGAAAACAGAAAAAGATAACAAGAGGAAGAAATCTTATGTGGGGGGGGGGGGGGGGTGTATGTCACCAGAAACTACTTAAAGTGCTACTGATAAGCCAGTATCCCAGGCTACATACACATATGAACCATAAAATAAATCCGCTAATACATGTTAGCCAGTTTAGAAATACAGAAAAGGCCCCATTTTAACAAGTCCCCAAAGTCATCAAATTTTATTTTGCTTTGATCAAACCAAATTATGAAAAATAGTCTATTGCTACAACATGTGAAAGAAGTATGTTATAAACATACTAGAGGCCTGATGCACAAAATTCGTGCAAGAGTAGGCCTTCCTTACCCCAGTTGCCGGCACCTGCTTCCCTCTGGCACCCAGGACCTGGGCTTCCCTCGCAGCCCCGGCATCCCAGAAGGATGTCCAGTCTAATTAGCATATTACACTTTTATTATTATAGATATGTGTATACTTGCCTAAATAAAGCAAATGTTCAAGGAAAGCTTTTGGTTGTGTTTTTTTTGTGTGTGTTTTTTTTAAGTGAGCTTTTGCTCTTACTGAATCTGTACTTTGAAATAAAAACACAGGTATACCTCAGGATTCAAACCTATCTTATGCAAACTCAGGAACCAAACAGATTCTGCTAAATTTTTTAAGATTCTACTGTTTGATAGAAACTGTATCCATCATTATCTGAACTCTCTCTCACTCTTGCTCTCCAAAACTCAGGAAATGAATAGCTATAGATGACCCAGTATTCACTATCCAAACATTATTTAAACTCAGGATATGAATGTAGTTGATTCAAATTAAAAGGCCTACTTGTGAATCCTATATAAATTTTAATATAATTTCACATCCTATATAATAAAAGGCTAATATGCAAATTGTCCCCTCGACCGGGAGTTCAACCAGGAGTTTGACTAGGGGGCGAGCCCAGCCCCATCAGCCCCAATCAGGGCGGGCCAGCCAGACCCCACCTGTGCACGAATTCATGCACCGGAAGTCTAGTGATTTATAAAATTAGGGATTTTTTTGGCATCATACAAGTATTCTGCATAAACACTAGCAGCAAAATAGATCTGAGAAAATATCTTTTTTGTACTATATTTCTTAGTTGTTTGATGGAACAAGTTATTAAGTTATTCCCCCTAGCTCCCTTTACTTCACTTAGCACAATACCCTCTAGGTCAACCCATCCATGCTGTCGAAAATGGTAAAATTTCATTCTTTTTTATATCTGAGTAATATTCCATTGTATATCTTTTAATCATAAAATACAATCATGTAATTTTAAAAATAATCCTAACATATTCAAATTAAACAAGGATCCAATATCATTCATAGCAAACAATATTTAATTTGTTTACCCTAAATATCTAAAGGGGAGAGAAGAATTTTAATCCATTTACTAACTAGCCTCTCCTACCCAACAAATATTTTTAATATTTTTTAATCCTCACCCAAGGATGTTTTCCTATTGCTTTTAGATAGAGTAGAAGGGGATAGGAGAGGGGGAGAGAGAGAGAGAGAGAGAGAGAGATATTAGTTGCCTCCCACATGACTGGGGCTGGGAACAAACCTGAAACCCAGGTGCATGCCTTTGACCAGGAATCAAACCCACAACCCGCAACCGGCCAGGGCCCCCAACAAATTTTTTAAATGTCACACATTTTCGTTCCACCTATCTTCACTTACACATAAATTGTCTATTCCCATTCTTACCTATGCCTACAAACCCCTACCTGCCTACCAATTTCCTCTTTCTCAGCCACATATTCAGTTCTTCTCTACCAACTCAGATGTTTTTTGTTTTAAGGCTAGCCACTTCCTAGATATACCAGCAGTATATATAGGAGAGTTTTGAGTTCTGGTTCTATTTCTAGAAAGATGTTTCTGGTTTGAGGAAGACTCTCTGGAAAGGTAGACTAAAATTGATTGTGGTTTTAAACAATCCAGTGTCCCCCATCACTACCAGAAAACAGTCATTCTTGTATTATTGTATTTTGCTGCTATTGTTTATGCAGAATACTTGTATGATGCCAAAAAAATCCCTAATTTTATAAAATAGTCATTCTTTTCTTCTTTTTCATATATCAAACCAACGCTGGCTTCCAGTTAGAAAAACCAATGACAAACAATGGTTTTCTCTGGTTCATAAATGGACTTTATAAAATATTACAGAAATAAAAGATGTATGTATTTAATTTTTATTTTTTTAATCCTCACCCAAGGATATTTTCCCATTGATTTTTAGAGAGAGTGGAAGGCAGAGGGAAAGACCGAGAAATATTGATGTGAGAGAAACACATCGATTGGTTGCCTTCTGCACACGCTCAGATCAAGGCTCGGGCAAGGGAGGATAACTCTTCCCATCATACTCATTAAAAACCGTTAAGTCAAATTAGTTCTATAGCAGCTTTGGAAATTTAAAAAAAGATAATACTCTTTTTAAAAAGTTCTTTTCAGAATTACACAGGTATCCCTTGTTTGGTAGCATGGGGGGAAGGAGGGGAGGTGGCAGGGGTTAACAAAGTAGAAAAGCAACCCTCCGTCTGTTTCCATTATAAGCTGGAAGATGCATTCTCAGGGAAAGATATACCATTATGCCATGGAGTAAAGTTTTTTACTAAGGAAAAAGAATAGCCAGCCTTGGTCTGTTGAAAACTCAAGTGTGTGTAAACACTACGAAGGCAACTTCATTTTCCTTTTGTGGAATTCTAGACAACCAGAATTTCTTTCAGCCTAAGGATTCCTTGGCTTCACATTCATGGCTCTAACAATTTTGTATCCTTCCTCTCTCTCCTCTGCCCTCCAAAGCTAGGCAAGTTTAGCTCTCTTCACCACTCTGTTCCAGCCACAGTGACCTCCAACATACAAGACAAGTAAATCTCCTGCCTTGGCACTTCCTGAATTCCCTCTACCTGGAATGCACATCTTCCATATATCCAAGATACGACTCATTCCATCTCTCTTTCAGGACTTCATTCAAATGTCACTTTTCAGTAAAGTTTTCCATAGCTACCCTATCTTAAACAAAGAAAAAAACAACAACAACAAAAAAACTGTATTTCCTATTCCTCTTCTCTCTTTTATTTTCGCCTTAACCCTATCACTAACATATACTTCTTATTTATCTTGCTCATTAATTGTCCCTTCACCAGAATGTGAGCTCCATGATTATAGGATTTTTATCTGCTATGTTCACTTCTGTAGCCCAACATTTAGAATAGTGCCTGACAAAATATTAGGTGCTCATCATGCTGAATGAATAAATGGTACTACTACCTGCAATACTACACGTAACTGGTAAGTGTTGCCATCAACACTTCATATTCTAGTCTGAAAGATTTCAATGAACAGACTAGATTTAGATTATCTTATCAATCTGTACTCTGGGAACTGCAGCAACCCCTCGGGGATAAATGTGAGGACAGAAAATGGTAACCTAAGCAAGCAGAAAAGTCCTACATTTATCTGTTTTATTCATTGGATTTCACATAAATTTAACTTGTAAAGGATTTGGCAACTTCAAAAAATCTAAAACCACTGGGTTGTATATAACTCAGTTCCTAAGTTCTATTTTACATTAGGTAACATGTTTACCTAGGTAACATGTTTACATCCTCCTTTAGAAAGAGGTTAAAATTAAAATTAGCATCTAATCTCACTTAATAATCTGCTACAAAGGCAACCAATATTTACTCTGTATTTTCCAATTCAAACAAGAGATTAGTTTTTAAAAAAAGAAATGACAAAGTATAAAATTATGTTATTTCATGTATAAGAACACATGTAAATTCACCAAGTAGAACTTAAAAGATCCAAATCCCATTACCACAAATATTGCTGTAAGTAAAAATATCTCCCAAGTAAAATGTTACATGCTCCAATAAAGAAAAAGAGGAGCACTCACCTTAATGAAGTTACAGATGGACAAGCCTGTCCATACAAACCCATCTGGCCACAAAGAGAATCTGAAAAATAGAGAAGAGTTATTTATCAGATGCTCCAAAGTAAATGAAACTATAAATCATGTTACAATTCTAATTAAAACACTCTGAACACTCATAAAATTTAACAAATTGTTATGCTTATGTTATACAGGTGTGTCCAAACTGTTTAGTAGAATCCTAGGGGTTCCAAGAGATGCCTAAAGGCTACCAAAAAGTTGAGCATGCAGACTCTCATTCCCACATAATTGTCCCCCACCCATCTACTCTTCAATCTAAGCAGTATTGGCTTTATATCCTGGACTTCACTAAGACTTCACTGAAATAATTCCATTGCTTAACACGTTAAGCGCCCAGCCTGTTTTGTCTTCCGGACAGAAAGTATAGTGTCAGTCACTGATGACTGACTAGGCCAGTGGTGGGCAAACTCATTAGTCAACGAGCCAAATATCAACAGTACAACGATTGAAATTTCTTTTGAGAGCCAAATTTTTTAAACTTAAACTATATAAGTAGGTACATTGTTATTAACTTAATTAGGGTACTCCTAAGCTGGCCTTTGCTAAAAACGTCCTCAATTTGATTGAGGTACGTTCACTGAGGTCGACCCCTTCCAACTCTCCCATCCACACTCGTCTTGTATACTTGTTTCATCTATCTCCTTTCCGAAAACCAACTTCTGCGCATGAGCCAAGAACTTTCAATCACACCGTGCGTGCGCACCCGCACATGGTATTTTGTGGAAGAGCCACACTCAAGGGGCCAAAGAGCCGCATGTGGCTCTCGAGCCGCAGTTTGCCGACCACTGGACTAGGCGCTTAATGTGTTTAAGAAAAAAAAAGTGAAGAACAGCACTGAAACAGAAAGAGCATTGAATAAGAGAGTTCTAGGGCCAAATTCTAACTGTGGCACTATGAGACCTTGAAGAATTCATATAAAACCTCACTGAACCTCAGTTACTTCATCTGTAACTTGGCAATAATACCACCTATATAACTTTATTTATTCATCAGGAATAAATTGCAGGTTTGATGTAAGAATTAAATAAATCGATGAACAAATGTGAAATTGTCTATTAGCACTAATACTGGGCACAAGGATGATTCACAAATGTCTACAGGTAACATGAATGAGAGAAGTTGGAATAAGTATGTGTATACATATGCATACGTTACACAACTGATGAAGATTATGAGCAACTAAAGAAAACATGTTCACTCTGAAGAAATCATATGCTATTCCTAGTTCTAGAAAATTGTTACTAAACAAGACTGCAAGCCCAGTATTGTAAGGTCTTCTAATTTTTCTCAAGAGAAATAAGATATCCAAATTTTTATTTTAAATCTCCTGATTTTTATTTTCTAAATGCTATGTGGACCAAACAAACATTGGATTTTCTCCCAAGTTTATAACCTTTGATTTAGAGGCTTACTGAATTCCCTGCATACAACTGTCCCTGCATGCCCTGAAGAGAGACAGACATTTCTATTTCTGCCAGAATAAAAGAATAGATAGCTTGATCAACGTGCCATTGAAAATAACAAACACTGGATAAAATATTTTTAAACCTTTAAAATAACAAACATTGGATAAAACAAGGCATTATCAAGTCCAAAGACTAAATGAGAAAGGAAAATTAGAAAAGTATGCAGAGAAAAGAAACCAGCTTTTATTCAACTTCAGGGCATTTTGCCAAACCCTTCGGATATCAGCTTGCAATTCCAAAGCCTACCGGGGCCCAAGGTACAGAGGCAAAGGCAAAGTCCAGGTGTTAACCAAGGGAAGTGCAAGGAAAATTGCCTTCTTACCCTTGGCATTGAGTGCTGGGGAAGGGATGGGGGCCAAGATTGCATTCAACAGTATTTCCGCTGATATGCACAACAATAAGCTGACTCTCACCTAATTATGGTTTAAAAGCTTTATATTCAGAATTCTGTTTAGGGTAGTTCTACATTGGTAGTGTCCCCCACCCAATCTTGATAGAAGCAAATGCAAATCCTCTGAAGGAATCTGCCTTTGATCTCGGCCTGGAAGAATTCCCACAAATAAGGTTCCAAAAGTAACAAATTCAAAATCAAAAATCACAAAACTCAGAACTGAGTCACTCAGAGTAAGGTACAGCTGAAACATCACTTGGAACAACCAACACCTCAAAGACTTAGATATGGGAATTACTATACTTTTCTCTACCGTTTTACTTATGGGTGATTTATTTACTCCTGTGTTTCAATAGCCTGCATGCATATGAACCTCAAATCTGTACCTCTGGCAGTTATAAATCTCCTGATCTCCAAACATAAATATCTAACATGCCCAACTAGAAATCCCAAATTTAACATGTCCCAAACTGAATTCATTATCTTTCTATAAAATATTTCCTAATGTGACAAAATGGCTTTCATTTCCTTTGTTAGAGTAGCACACTTCTTTTCAAATCTTGATTTCTATGAGGAATGACTGACTTCTCTTAAATACTCCTGGGCTCTTAACCCACTCCTCAAAGAGGTAAATAACTTAGTGACTAGAGATAACTCCAGAACCTACATCCAGGACTCTGTAAAGCAGTAATCTGGGTGTGCCTGCTCTGTTGAGTCTAACAATCTGACATCAGGTAGACTGTACCATGGTCTATATTGGGTTCTATTAGGTGGGAATGAGAGAATGTGGAAAGTTAGACTATTTGGCTTTTAAAACTAAGCCACATTCTACAATATTCTATGATATCACCCTTATCAGAAGCAAAGGTAATTCCTCCAAAAGTTACCATATGACCTGGCAATTCTATTCCTAGGCACCTGTATATCTGTGTGTGTGTGTGTGTGCATATCCCCAAAAGAATTTAAACATATGTTCACAAAAAACCTGCATAGTGTTCATAACACCATTATCCGTAACAGCCAAAAAGTAGAAATTAATCAAATATTCATCATTTGATAAATGGATAAATAAGCTGTGGCATATCTATACAATATCCATAATATACAATGGAATATTATTCATCCATAAAAAGGAATGAAGCCCAGCCCTGGCTCAGTGGTTGAGCATTGACCTATGAATAGGAGGTCACAGTTCGATTCCTGGTCAGGGCACATGCCCGGGTTGCAGTCTCGATCCCCAGGGTGGGGTGTGGAGGAGGCAGTCAATCAATGATTCTCTCTCATTATTGATGTTTCTATCTCTCTCTCCCTCTTCCTCTCTGAAATCAATAAAAAAAATATTTTTTTGAATGAAGCCCACTTACAACACTGATGAACCTTGAGAGCCTTATGCTAAATGAAAGAAGTCATACACAAAATGATTCCATTTATATAAAATATTCAGAATAGGCAAATCCTAGAGATGGAAAGTAGATTAGTGGTTGCCAGGAGAGGATGGAAGGGGTAGGTGGGATGGCAGGGGAAAGAGTGACTACTAATAGGTTTCTTTTGGGCATGATGAAAGTGTTCTGGAATTTGATAATGGTGATAGCTGTACAACCTTGCAAATAAAAACTTTTAGCCTAGCCAGAACCGGTTTGGCTCAGTGGATAGAGCGTCGGCCTGCGGACTGAAGGGTCCCAGGTTCGATTCTGGTCAAGGGCATGTACCTGGGTTGCGGGCACATCCCCAGTGGGAGATGTGCAGGAGGCAGCTGGTCGATGTTTCTCTCTCATCGATGTTTCTAACTCTCTATCTCTCTCCCTTCCTCTCTATAAAAAATCAATAAAATATATTAAAAAAAAAACTTTTAGCCTAAAACTACCAACTGTACACTTTAAAATGGTGACGTTTATGGTATGTGAATTTTTATCTCAATAAAAAACCAACTGTACAAACAGTAATATTTCACTTATCATTTGTTGGTTCTTGTTTTATTTCTCAGTCAACTCAGAATTCAGGCAAGAGAAAGGGATCTTTCTTATATATTGAGTCCCCCACATCAATACCTTTAGGACCCCCAATTATTTTTTTTATTTTTTTAATATATATTTTATTGATTTTTTTACAGAGAGGAAGGGAGAGGGATAGAGAGTTAGAAACATCGATGAGAGAGAAACATCGATCAGCTGCCTCCTGCACACTCCCTTACTGGGTATGTGCCCGCAACCAAGGTATTTGCCCTTGACCGGAATCCAACCTGGGACCCTTGAGTCCGAAGGCCAACGCTCTATCCACTGAGCCAAACCGGTTAGGGCAGAACCTCCAATTAGTTACCATTCACTACCAACTCTAGTTCCTAAATATCTTTCTAATGTGTTCTAGTCTCAATGTCTTTGTTTCTCTATTTTCTTCATTTTAATCTACATTGCTGCTGCTAAATGGTGTCCTGAACCCCAGGCTGGTTAACTAAAATAACAAACATATGCCAATCTTCTTCTCCCTGCCCAGGCAAATGACTAGCAACATGGAAATCTCACAAGAAAAGGCTAAGGTCAGGAAAATCACAGTGTCCTCCAAATTACAAGCTTATATCTCTGGAGCAAACTACAGTTAAACAATTATATTAACTCATTCAATTACATCCATAATTTATACTGTTTAAGCTGGTGCCAACAACACCTAGTAGCTTTTTCTCCAAATCTTTTGAATATGAACATACAAGAAAGTTTATGTTGATGAATGACACAACCAGAATTAGTAAAACCAGTCATTCACTGATGGGTATGCTCTAATAGAATTTAATGTATTATATTCCATCAACAACAGAATATGGAATTTCTTTTAAAATAAGCAGTCTTCAAGTGTATATTAAACTGAGTCACACACTATCACATTTAGGAAGCAGATATTTAACAGACTAAGTTGTATAATAATGCATTATTTGGGAGCAGGAGGTGAAATGGGGCTAAGTATTTTGAAAAAGCTCCCAAGTAATTCTTATGAACTCTTCTCTCTCCCACCCACAGATATAATGCTTTATAGTCTACAAAGAACTTAAAGCATTCATTACTTGAGTCAAGACCTAGATTAGAATTCCAATTGTAACCATGAGTATATTGTTAATTTATCTAAGGCTTAATTTCCTCCTCTATACAAAAGGAAAAATTCA